ACTGTGTGGTTTGCTGACTGAGCTTCTGCATTACTCTGCTCTTGAGAGGAGAAATTGTTGGTCTTACTCTTGTAACAGTGGCAGAAGCTGGAAAAGTGGTTCTGGTGGCTGAAACCTTCTCTGCTTGTGTGTGTGAGGTTCTTTTTGTTTCCTTGGCATTGCACTCCCATTTCATGGAAAGGAAAGGCAATTTTCATCATGAGGCAGTATTATGGTTGGCTATAAGTGAATATTTGAGGGGATGAATCACTGGCTCTTGGGCTGCACACTGCAGAGAGAAGGAGGCTAATGCCACTTGGAGCTGACTTCATGAGCATACTCCGTGGGTTGATGCAGAGGAGGCAGGCCACTCTTGGGTTGGCTGGGCATCCTCACTACCCTGCAGGTGCATATCCACTTGGACAGCACTTTGTTCCACTGGAGGATGAGCTCATTTTGCCCACTTGGGTTTCCCGCAGTGGCAAGCTGGTCAGCCTGTGCAGCTTGCAGCTCCTTTGTGCATCTGTGTATGTGCTTGAGCCTGCCAGGAGAGTGGCTGCTTCACTGTGGTGGAGATGCTCCCAGTGGCACAAGTAGCATCTGATGGTTAGAAGTCAAGGTGAATGGATGACCCTGCCTGTTGGAAAGCAGGTACTGGCTGCTGCGACCTTTACCATCTTCTGCACTTCAAAGCATGGAGTCCAGCTTTTATTTAAAAAACACTGTAAAGTAAAGTAAGTGTTACCACTTTTATCAACCTGACTGCTGCTGTGAGCAGCTCTCACAGTAGTTTACTGCTTTCTGAATTTGCTAAAAAAGTATTCCTTGGGCCAGTGCAAAACTGATGTCTGAGTGACAAAATGTAACTGGGGGGGAAAAAAGGAAGGAAGGACGGAAGGACTACAGAGCCCTGGGAGAGGTGGTTAGGGGCCCTGGAGCTCAATCTTTTCATCAGTTCTCCAGGATAAAGGGGAGGACCTTCAAAAGGCTAGGAGGATTGGACAGGTTAATAAATGGTTAGAAGGGTGGTGCCATAGTCAGGGGTTTGGGTATTTAGAACATGGGACTTGATTTGGGAGGCCAGGTATACTGGAGGTTGATGGAGCTGGTCTAAAGAACGGAAAGTGCAGTTTTGGCAGGAGGTGTGCCAGGCTGGACAAGAAAGCTTTAAACTAGATGTGTTGGGGGAGGGGGGCATCATTCCATCCCAACACAACCAGTCAGTTGCCAGCACCTATAATAAATGCTCAGAGTAATGTAGCGATCTTTCAGCTGCTCCAGCCAATGAGCCGGCTTCATTTGGAGCTCAGCTCAGATGCCTCTATACAAATGCCCATACTATGGGGAATAAACAAAACGAATTAGAGATGCGTGCACGTCTATGGGGATATGATATAACTGGTATCATAGAAACATGGTGGGATGGCTATTTATGTCGGTGATAGACTAGAGAGTATGGAATTCTGTCTGGGGACAGGTGATCAGTTAACAGCGAGTTTCTGGGTCAGGGTCAAAGGGAGAACAGCTATGGGGGACATTACTGTGGGGATCTGTTACAGACCGCCTGATCAAGAGGACTCTGTGGATGAAGCGCTCTATAGACAGATAGGAACAGCCTCACACTCACAGGCCCTTGTCCTCATGGGGGACTTCAACCATCCCAATATCTGTTGGAGTGATGGTACGGCCTGGCACAAGCAATCCCAGAGGTTCCTCAATTGTGTGGAAGACAACTTTCTCCTGCAAGTAATAGAGGAGCTGGCGAGGAGAGGTGCCATGCTTGACTTCATGCTCACCAACGAGGAGAGGCTGGCTGGTTGGAAATGTGACACTTCAGGGCAGTCTTGGTTGTAGCGACCATGGATGGATAAGGAGTTGCTGAAGAAACTTAGAGGGGAAAGAAGAGGCTTACAAAAGGTGGAAGCAAGGACAGGTGGTCTGGGAAGAATACAGGGATGTTGTCTGGGAAGCTAGGGACCAGGTTAGGAAAGCTAAGGACCAGTTAGAATTAAATCTGGCAAAGAATGTGAAAGATAACAGGAAGGGATTCAATAGGTATGTTGCGAATAAAAAACACACTAGGGACAACATGGGCCCTATCTGTAAGGTATCAGGAGAACTGGCTACCCTGGATTTGGAGAAGGCTGAGGTTCTCAATGACTTCTTTGCCTCACTCTTCACTGGCAAATGCTCTGACCACACTACCCAAGTCTTGGAAGGCAGACGCAGGGACAGTGAGAATGAAGACCATTGTAGGAGATCTGGTTTGAGACTATCTTAAGAACCTGAACATGCACAAGTCCATTGGACCTGATGAAATCCATTAATGGGTCCTGAAGGAGCTGGCAAATGAAGTTGCTAAGCCACTGTCCCTCATATTTGGAAAATCATGGCAGTCAGGTGAAGTTCCTGACAACTGGAAACAGGGTAATATAACCCCCATTTTCAAGAAGGGTAAAACGGATGACCCAGGGAACTACAGACCAGTCAGTCTCATCTCTGTGCCTGGCAAACTCTTGGAGCAGATTCTCCTGGAAAGCATGATAAGGCACATGAAAAACAATGAGGTGATTGGTGACAGTTGTCATAGCTTCACTAAGGGGAAATCCTGCCTGACCAATTTGGTAGCCTTCTATGATGGAGCTATGGAACTGATGGACAGGGGCAGAGCAGTTGATATCATCTACCTGGAGTTGTGCAAAGTGTTCGACACTGTCCCACATGACTTCATTGTCTCTAAACTGGAGAGGCATCAGTTTGATAGATGGACCACTCAGTGGATAAAGAACTCGCTGGTTGGAAACCAGCACACAAAGAGTTGTGGTCAATGGCTCACTGTCCAGTTGGAGACCAGTAATGAGTGGTTGTCGTTTTTTAACCCAACCAAACAGCTTGTTAACTCACTCCCCCCCCCTTCTTGCCCTCCCCCTACTCTCGGAGGGACGGAGAGGAGAATCAGAAAGAATGCAACTCCCACGGGTTGAGATAAGAACAGTTTAGTAACTAAGGTATAACACAAATCACTACTGCTACCACCAATAATAGTAATGATAAAGGAAATAACAAGGGAAGAGAATACAACACCCCATCACCAGGCGACCGATAACTTGCCCCCCAGCCCGACCAAGCACCGACCGATACCTCCTCCAACCCTGCAGTCCCCTTAGCCCTTCCGGGTAACTCCCAGTTACATCCTGGGCATGACGTGCTGTGGTATGGAATACCTCTTTGGTCAGTTTGGGTCAGGTGTCCTGTCTCTGCTTCCTCCCGGCTCCCCTCCTCCCTGGCAGAGCATGAGGCCCACAAAGTCCTTGGCCAAACCAAAACATCATTGTTTTTCAGCTCTGTTCCCAGCTGAAAGTCAAAACACAGCACTGCACCAGCTACCAAGAAAGAGAAAAATGACTGCCACTGCTAAACCCAGGACAGTGGTGTCCCTCAGGGATCGGTGTCAGGACTGGTCTTGTTCAATATCTTTGTCAGTGACATAGACAGTGGGATTGAGTGCGCTGGAATGGATTGCCCGAGGAAGTTGTGAATGCTCCATCCCTGGCAGTGTTCAAGGCTGGGTTGGACAGAGCCTTGGGTGACATGGTTTAGCGTGAGGTGTCCCTGCCCATGGCAGGGTGGTTGGAACTTGATGATGTTAAGGTTCTTTCTAACTCTAACTGTTCTATGATTCTATGAAAAGGCTCACAGCTTTTTAGCATGGAGAATCTGTTTTCCTGTAGCTTAGATCTTGCTGGTATTTGCACACACAGCGGCTTCATCTGAAGACTTTCAGTTGTACTTTGACCTGCACTAATTGTTAAAGAAAATTGTGCTGCTGCTTAATTGAATCGTAGCTGTTAGCTCACATTATGTTTGGGTTAAAGAGTGTTTGGAGGGGATGCTCAAACACAAAATGTAAAAGTAGCAAGCCACACTAAATTTTCCAATAGCATAATTCATAAGGAAACTGGCACTCTTTGGTTAACAGTTGGTCATGGCCTTATGGAAGACTGCTGAATTTTCAGAGCAGTTGCACATACTTGGCTGTGTAACTGCTAAGCACTAGAAAAGTGCCTGTTTGTCTTAGTATGGCTTTAGCTGTCTGCTGCCAGGTAAGACAGGAGGCTTCTCTTGGCCTTTCTCAGTGCTGCTGTTGTAACGTTCTTGGTTTGTTCCTTGACATTTTTTTCTTCTTTTAGACAAAGTATTTAAAAAGCTCCCTTTTATTCCTGCAGTATTTGCAAGTTGACTGTGAAGTATTTTTAGAATTAAAAGCTAGAAGTAAGCATTTTTGTGTTAAGGTTTTACTGAGAGCAGAGGTTTTCCAAAATTAGGCTTGAAGTTAATTTTAAAATTTCTTTCCATCTCTGTATGCAGAGATTGTTACATCATACTGAAACAATATCTTGTACATCTTTCATGATGTACAAAATGCTTTTGGTTTTGTGTGTTGGCTGTGTCTCTGAGGTCTCTAAGTTTGGGCAGAAGCAGAATTGATCACTCATCACTTGCATCTCCCTCTGCTGTATTTCCCCCCACTGTTCCATCATGAAGCTGACCTGAACTAAAGTTTGATACTCTCATCATCTTTCCTTCAGCAGTGGGGGTGAAGGAGTCAGGATGGCCACTGGCAGCCAAATGCTGAAGTTCATGTTGTAAAGCTGCCCTTAAAAAATGCCCCAGCTCTCATGAAGTCCAGTGCATCACTGTTTTAAAAGACTTCTCTTAAAGAGCTTTTCCTCTGTACATCAGAACTTTTTCTCATGCAGTGATACTCTGTTCAGATAATCTGGTTTGCAAAGCAGTCTCTTCTTCATAGAATCCCAGACTGGTTTGGGTTGAAAGGGACCTTAAAGCTCATCCAGTTTCAACCCCCTGCCATGGACAGGGACACCTTTGACTAGACCAAGTTGCTCCAAGCCCCATCCAATCTGGCCTTGAACACTGACAGGGATGGGGCAGCCACAACTTCTCTGGCCAACCTGTGCCAGCACGTCAGCACCTTCACAGGGAAGAACTTCTGCCTAAGATCTCATCTCAGTCTCCCCTCTGGCAGGTTAAAGCCATTCTCCTTATCGTGTCCCTACAGGCCCTTGTCCAAAGCTCCTCTCCAGGTTTCTTGTAGACACTTTAGGCACTGGAAGCTGCTCTAAGGTCTCCCTAGAGCCTTCTCTTCTCCAGGCTGAACAGGCCCATCTCTCTCTGTCTTCTATCTTATGTTCCTAATTATTGAGCTTTTTGGTTTGTCTGAGGCTTGACAAAGAACTTGTAAATGATGGTAAGCAACAGCCAAGGCAGTGCTGTCAAATTTGGCTTCTACTAAATAAGGGGAGTTTATCCTGTCACTTTTCCATTCATATAGTCAACTTTTATAGTGTACTTGCTTTTATGTTCTGCTTTCCTTACTTGAGGATGACCTGGAACAGATACTATTGTGCTCCTCTTCCTCCTGTAAGCAGTAATTTGAGGCAAGGTGTTAGTCACTGCTCTGCACTTGGTGCTATGGTGTCTCAAATACCAAGGCTGTAAAAAACAGGTTGTGTTTTTCTGTAGCTGTGTCTAGTCCTAAAGCTAGTAGGTGGCAAACTGTATTTTGAAACCTCAAGAGCATTTCCCCTGTAAGGCTGAATGTAGCTGAAAATAACAGCATGGCTTGGTGTCATGGGAGGTGTAGGGAGGAGGTGGAAAACATCTACCTTAGAGGCAGTTTCCAAGTGAATTGTTTGTTCTTTTCCATCTGTTTTCAGAGACTCTTCAGCATAGTTCCTAAAAGTGAAAGCAGGGTCAGACCTATTGACTCACTGCCCACCATAAAGGCTTACATCTGCTGTTCCAGATACAACTGCATCTACGCCCTGAAGTGCAGTCCACTTCTGTTACAGCACTTTGTGAGCAATCCCAGCTGTTCCTGAGCCAAACATACCTAAGGGTGAGTTGATCAGAACCACTTGTTTTTAATCGTGCTTTTAATCTGTCAACCAGAAAAACCTAGATTTCACTTATCAGTTTTGATCTTATGTCTATTTTTGTTCCTTAGGTAGGGTCTTACTGCTAATTCATAAAATACAGGTTTTCCATGTTCATTTTAATGAGAAGAGATTCACTGTGTTAATGTTTTTGTAAGTTATAGAACAGCTTAATTCAGGTTTGAAATCTGTAACCGTTTTGCATTTAAGTATTATGTTACTATAATGCCCTTAAATTGTCTTGATTCATAGATCAGTGCATATTTTTTTTCCTTGGGAAGACATGTTTTGTGTTTTATGTAACTAGCTCTTTTTAAAAAATACCCCCCCCCTACACCCCCAACCATTTGAACCTGTTGTGATCTTGCACAATTCTTTTTAAGATCCATGCAATATCTGCTGGCTCCCTCTCATGTACTTTTGACTGGCTGACTATGAAGCCAACAGCTGTGTTGGCTCAGATGGGAGGGCTCCTGAGCCTTGTGTCCTACCTCTTGTGATCCAACTGCTTAGAGAGTAAGGCAAGCACATTGTTGTGCCAGAACCCTTCTAATGATCTGTGGTTTAGGAGTTTATTGAACAAGTTGTCAAGATCTTTTAATTACTTTTTTTTTTTGCAATTAATATACTATGAGGGATTTTTTCTTCCCTAATTAGCCTTCAGTTAATTTCTTAATGCAGAAGCTTTCACTGTGCTAAAAGAAGATAATGTACTTCAAACTAGAGAAGAGTCCAAGAGCTTGTAAGACTTGCTCATATGACCATTGTCTTGCTTCCCAAGTAATGTTGTTATGATCTTGTCCCAAATGGCAGCCTTTCATGTTTGAAAGCCTTTCTTTTAACTTCATGGTGCCACATGTGTACTGTTAAATAAATTATTTAATGACTGTAGAATAGCAATAACCTGTTACAGGATATTCACCGTAACTTGTAGCTTAACTCAAGTTAAACTTGATTCTTAAAAGTATAAAATGTGCTTAGTCTTAAAAGTTATTTATTCTGGCATGCCTGAAGTGCTTAAGTAGTGAAATGATATCTTTTGTAAGGCTTTATTTTAGGTGAGATTTTAATGATCTATAGATCATAAACCCTATGGCTTGAAAAATCACTTCTGATTAAATGGGGGTCTGAATATTTTTGCTCTTGCTAGCATTCTTAGTGTAATGGTTCGGAGGGACTGCCCTACAATCTCAGTTGCTCGTGGGCCTGTATTTGATCCAAACCATTTGTATGAAGAACAAAGGAATAATTGAATTAGCTCTTGTTTTCAAAAAGGGAAGATTGGTTTGACGCTAGATCTGAACAAGCATAAACCTGCACAGAAAACACCCCTTTCAAAATTCCAGTTAGATCTGTAGGCATTAAAATGGTGTCTGTAATTCCTGTTTATCTCAGGGTTAGTACTTGGTGCTTCTTTGGGTAAGGATCCAGTTGATGTAGTCACATTCCAAAAGACATGTTTATGTGCAGATGGACTCAACAGTTCACTGTTAAATCTACAGGTTGTTGAGATACGCTATAACTGGAAGTTCAGTTCTTTACAATTTTGGCTATTTTGTAGATTCTGGAAATGATACTGAATATTTCTGATACAAAATGAGACCCTTAAGTATTCAGCCTTTATTTGGATGGCCTAAGTAGTATGCCTTTATAAAGGGTAAAGAACAAATTAAATTGGTTTGGTAATACATACTACTTAAAGGGTTGCAGTGTCATAGATTTAAAGTGTGCTAGACAAAGTTGTTTCTCTGCATCCAAAAAAAACATGGAAAAAAGGGGAAATAATAGGTAGTATAGAAAGGAATGGTGTGTGAGAGATACTTTACCCAGGGCACTTCCTTCTCCTCCTCTTCCTTCCTTTCCCTTCCCTGCAATAGATTTCAGGTACAAACTTTGTTTCTGAAGGTGCTTTATCCACCAAGACTGATTCTGTTGACTAAAATAGGAATTCTTCTGCTATTCATTAGAAGTAGAAACACTGACTTTTGTTTTGGATTTGCTTTTTCAGACCTCCTTCTAGATGACCAACGTGTATTTTAACTGATTGTATCGGAAACTACGTCTCTGACTTCCCATTCATTCCAGCTGGTAGCAATGCTTATAATGCAAAAAAGTCATGATTCAGGATCACAGAAACATTACTCTTAAAACTTTCTAGATGATTGTAGTTGCTTTGGTTGTGTTCTACGCTAGCAGAAGCCTTTTTCAAAGTTTACAGTTGACATTAGAGCACCACATTCCCCATTTACTGGGAGCCCTGGGGGCTGGCAGTATGGGAAACTCATGTGTTTGCCACGATGACAGTGGAGCAGAAGACAATGTGGAATCTCGGAATCAGCAAACGGAGAACAGTAGAGTACATGTACCTGAAGCAAGAAGCCACCTAAGGGACCCTGTCCGTCCACCCAGGAGGGGTCGAGGGCCTCATGAACCAAGAAGGAAAAAACAGAATGTGGATGGACTAGTACTCGACACATTGTCTGTAATTCGGACATTAGTAGATAAGTAAGTACCTCCTCAAGGAATAATCCAACATGAGTGAAAATGTTTTTGTCTCCTTTCAAACTGTGGCTCCATCCTCTCACCAGTCTGCACCTGACCTTCCCTGAAGCAGCTGCGTGTTTCCATCTGGAGGCTTAGGAGAGGAGAACCTTTCCTAGGTAATAGAAGTAGCTCCGAAGTGCACAGGTACAGACTCTTCCAGGAGCTGAGAGCTTTTTCACAATTCCTGTATGGCACTGCACCCAGGTGGGATGAGGAGTGTGCTCAGTGTTTCTTACCTGGCATAGATACAGTTTAGGAAGCAGCAAACACTTAAGAGTTTGGGAACTTCTTTCCTAAAAATTGATTGTTGTGCAAGTTTTTTTGTTTTCAGGCTGTATTTACATTTTTTTGGAAATGGTTAAGCAAAACTGAGAGCTTTGATCTTTGTTAGCTTGTATAAACAGACTGAGGTTTTCTCTCTAGTTTTAAGTGACTGCATGTTATGACTGCTCAACTGTGTTCTTTGCATGCTCAAAGCACCCATTAAGGGTGTGGGGGATATTTATGGTTTCATCATATTTGTTTGTTTTGCATTGTTTTCTACAAAGCTTTAAAAGGACCTTTCAAATGATGGGATAAGTTAGCTCATTACCTTTTGGATTAGGTGTAGGCTAAGAACTGGAAAGGCCAAAACAGAAGGAAAGGAACTGTTCTAGCTTCACAGCTAGGGTTTGAGTTTAAGGTGGATGAGGCTCAGAATGTGAGCCTTGATTCATATATCTGCATTGTTACTTTGAAATGTGCCTGCAGAGTTTTTCTTCCTGCTGTAAAATGCTTTAAATGGAAATACCAGGATTTATTTTTTTTTTCCCCTGAACATTTAAATCTAAGGGGTTTGGGGTTTTTTAACAGGTTTTATTTTGTGGTCTGTCTTCAAATCATAAATTTAAAACTGTTTTGAAAGCCTCTCCCTAATCTTGCATGCCTTCTCCTTTCCCCTAAGTTCATCTTCTTAAGCTGTTTCACAACACTTCATGCATAGTTCATCCTGTTCCTGTGGGTCTTGCAATCAGTTTTGCAATCTTGTGCTTTCCTATGCTACAGGGGGACAATAAGCAGTTATTTTGCTGGTCCTGGAGTCCTGTTTCTGATAAATTCCTGAAGCTACTGTGTTTCTTACTTAATACAGACTCCAGTGAAATACTTTGAGACTCCCATAACCACATGGGTTGGAAGGGACCTCATGAAGATCATCCACTCCAGCCTCCTGCTTAAAACCCAGGTCTAGCAGGAGCAGGTGGCTCATGATTTTACCCAGTCAAGTGTTGAACATTTCCATGATATAGAGAATCCTCCACATCCTTGGGTCCCTGTTCTACTGTTTGATCATTCCCATGACTTAAATAGTAAATAGTTTTAAAAGTTGGAATTTCCCATGTTCTAACACACCCCTGTTGCATGCACCTCTGAAAAGTCTGAGTGTCCTCTCTGCTCTTTCCCATTACATAGTTGCAGACAGCAGTATGATTTCTTCTCCTTTCCACTACTCCCCCTTATGGATGAGCAAGCCTATTTCTCATAGCTTCTGGTTCTGTGACTTATTTTTCAGCCATCAACCATGTTGGAAGCCCTCTGCTAGACACATTCCTTTGATGTCTGGTTGTGAGGAGCCCAAAAATGGGCTGTACTGGAATACTGGTTTCCCTTGCTTTGTATTAAGGCAGTTGGCAAACCCCAGCTAGTTTTATAATGCAGGTAAATATTGCAAGTTCTTGCAGATAAGACAAAGAGCTATGGTTATGAATAATGGAGGGGTCTGTTAACAAGGCAAACTCTCTAAATACGTCTGAAAAAAGTTTAAGGAGCTGTTCTGCTAGCCTTGAAGCTAATGATAAGCCCTTCTTAGATTAATAGAAATGTTCATTTAGAAAAAATATCATGTCTGGAGGTCTTGGTTTTCAGTGTAGAATCATAGAATAGTTAGGGTTGGAAAGGACCTTAAGATCATCTAGTTCCAACTGCCCTGTCATGGGCAGGCATCCTCACCCTAGACTATGTTGCCCAAAGCTCTGTCCAACCTGGCCTTGAACACTGCCAGGGATGGGGTAGCCACAGCTTCTCTGGGCAACCTGTTCCAGTGCCTCACCACCCTTACATTAAAGAACTTCTTCCTTATATCGAACCTGAACTTCCCTTGTTTAAGTTTGAACCTTTTCCCCCTTGTCCTATCACTACAGTCCCTGAAGAAGAGTCCTTCTCCAGTATCCTTGTAGCCCCCTTAAGACACTGGAAGGGTGCTTATGAGGTCTCTGCACAACCTTCTCTTCTCCAGGCTGAACAGCCCCAACTTTCTCAGCCTGTCTTCATACAGGAGGTGCTCCAGCCCCTTATCATCCTCCTGGCCCTACTCTGGACTTGCTCCAACAGCTACAGCTCCATGTCCTTTTTATGTTGAGGACACAAGAATTGCACACATTACTGCAAGTGGAGTCTTAGAAGAGCAGAGTAGAGGGGCATGATCCCCTCCTTTGACCTACTGCTCTTTCTGATGCAGCCTAAGATACGGTTGACTTACTGGTTTGCAAGCGCATGCTGAAGCTGGCTCATGTTCTCATTGACCAGCACCCCCAAGTTCTCCTCTGCGGGGCTGCTCTGAATCTCTTCTTTGCCCAACATGTAGCTGTGCTTGGGATTGCTCTGACTCGGGTGTAGGACCTTGCACTTGGCATGGTTAAATTTCACGAGGTTGGCATCAGCCCACCTCATAAGTGTGTCAAGGTCCCTCTGGATGGCATTCCTTCCCTCCAGCATATCAACTGAACCACACAGTTTGGTGTCATTGGCAAACTTGCTGAGGGCACATTCAATCCCACTGTCCATGTCACCATCAAGGATGTTGAACAAGATCAGTCCCAACACCGATCCCTGAGGGACACCACTCGTTACTGGTCTCCAACTGGACATTGAGCCATTGACCACAACTCTTTGTGTGCAGCCAGCCAGCCAGTTCTTTAGACACCGAGTGGTCCATCTAACAAATTCATGTCTTTCCAGCTTAGAGACAAGGGTGTCATACAGGACAGTGTCTCAGAGGCTTTGCACAAGTCCAGGTAGATTACATCAACTGCTTTGCCTCTGTTCATCAGTTCCGTAGCCCCATCATAGAAAGCCACCAAATTGGTCAGGCATGATTTGCCTTTAGTGAAGCCATGCTGGCTGTCACCAACCACCTTGTTTTTCATGTGCCTTAGCATGCCTTCCAGGAGAATCTGCTCTAATGTTTTGCCAGGCACAGAGGTGAGACTGACTAGTCTGTAGTTCCCTGGGTGATCTGTTTTCCTCTTCTTGAAAATGGGGGTTGTATTTCCTTTTTTCCAGTCATTGGGAACTTCACCTGACTGCTGTGATTTTCCAAATATGATGGACAGTGGCTTAGCAACTTCATCCTTCAGCTTCTTTAGGACCTACAGATGGATTTAATGAGGTCACATAGACTTGTGCATGTTCAGGTTTTTAAGATGATCTCAAACCTGATCCTTTCCTATAGTGGGCCTAAGGTCTTCATTTTCAGTCCCTGCATCTGTCTTCTAAGACTTGAGCAGTGTTTCCAGACCACTTGCTGGTGAAGACTGAGGCAAAGAATTCACTGAGAACCTCAGCCTTCTCCAAATCCAGGCTAGCTAGTGCTTCTGTTTCCTTCCAGAGAGGGACACATTATTTTTAGATTTCCTTTTGCTGGCAATATACCTATAGAAGACTTTCCTGTTATCCTTGATATCCCTGGCCAGCCTAAATTCTAAGTGGGCCTTAATTTTCCTGACCTGGTTCCTAGTTTCCTGGTCAGTTTCTTCCCAGGCAGCCTGTCCTCACTGCCACCTTTTTTAAGCTTCTTTTTTCCTTCTATGGAAAGTTTTATTACCTGTATGATTAATCTGTGTTGAAATTTTCTAAAATTAATCTGTGTTTTACATGTCTAATTTCAGAGCTGTGTGATAGAAATTGAGCATGACACGTATCATTCTAAGCCTGGGGTTAATCTGCAGTGCCCAAACATAGCATTTAGGACATGCTGTTGTGAATGATTTCTGTGCTGCTTACTGAATAGGATTTTGAGATCTTGCTTTAGGAACTCCCTGTAGCAGTGAATGCTCAAATGGGCAGACCTGGCCATAGCTTCTTGTCCTTGCTCCAGCACCAAGCCTTAGGAACTGATCTAATTTGAACTCTTAATGGTTTTCATGTTGGAAAGGTGCCTGGGTTAAATAGCTTCTGTTCAGCTGCCTTACCTACCTCTTACAGTTCTTGTTACTGAGTTTGAAGTCTGTGGTGCTCGCAGGTGGCTTACATTTCAGTTTTGTGGGTGTTTTTTGTTTTGTTCCTTTTTAGTGTTTATATATTTAGCAGGGAATTTCTGGGGGAAAGTATGTTTAAGCTGTGTCCCTTGTGCACTGTACCAAGTGAGCCAAGATCAGTCTCGTTTCATACTCCAAGGAACCCTGCTAATGAGTAGCACTAAGCCTAAGGATTATGTTCAGCTTTTAGACATGCAGATATGGATCACCATTTTATTCATCAGCTATTATAGATATGAAGATGTTGATTTTGAGGCAGAGAGAGGCTCCATTCCCATCTGTGTTTCAGATCTGAAAGTGGCATTAGCAGTCTGCAGCCTGTGAAACTTCCTTTTGTTAAATACTGGAGTAATTTTCTGTCTGTGTATTATCATTTAGTGTATTATGTTGATGATTGTGCATAAAATTTGACCTGTGTAATATCTCTTTCAGTGACCAGGAGCCTCCTTATTCAATGATCACGTTGCATGAAATGGCAGAAACAGGTATCAAGGCATTGTGTTGGGCATTTCAGTTGTGGTTCCAAAGCACACAAAAAAACCCCCCAAAAAAAAAAAACCCAACAAAAAAACCCAACAAACAAAGCCCAAAAACCCAAGAACAAAAAAACAACCCCAAAAAAGCCACAACCCTCTTTTCTTTGCAAGGACAAATGCATGTGAGCAATAGGAGTTATGATTTGATTTAGCTCTAGAGAGTTGGGATCCAAAATACAGTTCTACTCTTCAGAAGCTTCACTGAGCCGTATTGCCTTTGCCTCAGCTTTGAACTCTGTTAAACTTCCCATGTGAATTCTCCAGAAGCATCCAGCTGATGGCCAAAACTCATAACGGCATTAAACCATAAGCTACAAAGCATGTCTGTCTGCAGCAAGGCAGAGCCAACCTAGATGTGTATGGTTGACATGGTTTAAACCCATGTGCTCCTGTGCTGGCAAATAGTACAAACTTTTTGTCTGAGGTTTTGCTGTCCTCACCTCTGCTTTATTAATGTAGTTGTTCCAACCCTGTCCCTAAGTTCTGCATTATGAGCTTTGTCAGCACGGGCTGTTTCAACTTTGTTACAGTTGGAGAAATTCTCTCAGCTCAAAATTTTTGTCTCTTGGTAGTGTTGCTACTGGTCTTAAGAAATATATTTCTAGATCATCATAATTTAATCAACCTGATTAGATATTACAGCACTTCAGTAAATGTTTTTTAGGGGAATGTGCAAACAAACTCAAACTCCAGTGTATTACCTATTTACTTGTCACTGTTGAAGGGAGCTCTAAGTGTCTTTAACCTCACTCTCCTATATGCAGATACAGACTCTATATTTTCACTTTGAAGGGAACTACTTTCTTGTAAATCCAAATCTGTTTACTTTATTAGTAGTTTAACATATGTGGATTACTGTATACTTGCAAATAGAGGCTGTTGTCTACTCATTAAGCAGTGAGAGCTGTTCCTTAGGAAAACATTTTCTTTAGACCACCAGGCATGGGACAAACTAATGTAGTTCCTCAGAGGCCCATGTCTTCCCACTTGAGGGAACTCGGGAAGAGTCCTCAGATTCTTGCTAGAAGAAATACTTCCTCAGTGTCATCATGGATGCAGCATTTCACATTTAAGAGTTGATATTGGACACTGAACTGAGTATCGCACTGGAACAAAGTGCTTGTCCATATTGGTCATGAGTGTTCCTTCCTAATACCAGTGGGAGCTCAAGGATGCTCTGGCCTGGCCAAGACTGTTCTCCAAAGAAGAGAGGGGTTCACTATTATCCAAGCTGCTGTAACCTTTTTTCTCCTTGAATGTAAACTTCAAACCTACTGCCAACTAAGATACTGATGTAAAAGGTAAATTGTTGGGTTGCTCTTCAATTTACATTTAGGGATGTATTTTGAACATTTTAGGATTGCAATGTTAATTCTGAGTGTTACTTCTGTTTTATGGTTGACAGATGAAGGCTGGTTGGAAGTGGTCCAATCTTTAATTAGAGTTATTCCATTAGAAGATCCCCTGGGACCAGCTGTTATAATGCTGCTACTTGATGAATGTCCGCTGCCAACAAAAGTGAGTCTAAGGCAAACATATTTACCTGTGGCTGAATTTCAGTTATTTGTGGTTGTCACACCCATGATAGCTCCTGAGAGGGTTTCACCAGTGATGCAAAACTCTGAGCTGTTCAGAAAATGGCTGTGACTTGCAATTTGGAGTAATTTGTGGTGACTTGCTATATAATTATAAATTGGTATGATATATAATGTTGGTCAATGAGAAGCTGAACATGAGCTAGCAGTGTGTGCTTGCAGCCCAGAAAGCCAACCGTATCCTGGGCAGCATCAAAAGGAGTGTGACCAGCAAGTTGAAGGAGGTGATCCTGCCCCTCTACTCTGCTCTCAGGAGACCTCACTTGGAGTATTGTGTACAGTTCTGGAGTCCTCAACATAAAAAGGGCATGGAACTGTTGGAGCAGGTGCAGAGGAGGGCCATGAGGACAATCAGGGGACTGGAGCACTTCCCTTATGAAGGCACACTGAGAGAGTTGGGGCTGTTCAGCCTGGAGAAGAGAAGGCTGTGTGGAGACCTCATAGCAGCCTTCCAGTATCTGAAGGGGGGCTATAAGGATGCTGGTTAGGGACTCTTCATTAGAGACTGTAGTGATAGGACAAGGAGTAATGGGTTCAAACTTAAACAGGGAAAGTTTAGATTAGATATAAGGAGGAATTTCTTTACTGTAAGGGTGGTGAGGCACTGGAATGGGTCGCCCAAGGTAGTTGTGAGCGCTCCATCCCTGGCGGTGTTCAAGGCCAAGTTGGACAGAGTCCTGGGTGATATGGTCTAGTGTGAGGACATGGCAGGGGTTTTGGAACTTCATGATCTTAAGGTCCTTTCCAACCCTATCTATTCTGTGATTCTATGATAATTGCTACTTAATGCTAGAAGCCTGGGGGGGGGGGGGGGGGGGGATGCTGCTGGTGGAGAAGAACAAGAGGCCTTTGGTCTTTAGCTGCTTTTCCTGCTGTCCTCTGCTGCCCTGTGGTACATGTATGCTCTGCAGATATCATGAAAGTAGTCCAAGTTCTGTCTTTCTGTTCTCCAGTTCTGGAAGCTGCACATTTACAAGTCCCTACTGAATTTGTTCCTGCCCTGTGTATAAGCAATACAACACCAGTGTGTGTTAAGTTAAACATGTGAGGTATTTTTAACTATGAAATATTTAGATATGAGTTTTGGCAAATTAGAATACCTTTCACTGACCACTTGTCCTGGGTTCAGCTGTAATAGTTATTTTTCTCCTTTTTAGTAGCTGGTGCAGTGCTGTGGTTTTGACTTTAGCCTGAGAACAGTGCTGATAAGACACCAGTGTTTTAGTTGTTGCTAAGTAATGCTTACCCTGATCAAGGACGTTTCAGTCTCATGCTCTGACAGTGAGGAGGAGTACAGGAAGCCAGAAGGGAGCAGAGACAGGACGTCTGACCTAAACTAGTGAAGGGGTATTCCATACCACAGTACGTCATGCCCAGTATAGAAACTGGGGGAGTTACCTGAAAAGCCAGGTCACTGATCCAGTCAGGTTGGGTATCAGTCACTCCCTCCCTCCTCTTCCCCCCACACTCCCAGAGGGATGCCGAGGAGAATCAAAGGAATGTAAATCCCACAGGTTAAGATAAGAGCAGTCCAGTAACTAATCCCGAGTAGCGATCTGGGCCTTCTGAGTAACTCCCCTCAGTTTCCATACTGGGCATGATGTGCTGTGGAATGGAATACCGCTTTGGCTAGTTTGTGTCGGGTATCCTGTCTCTGCTTCCTCCTGGCTTCTTGTGCCCCTCCTCACTGGCAGAGCATGAGACTAAAATTCCTTGATCGGAATAAACATTACTTAACACACCAATGTTTTTAATTGTTGCTATCAGCACTGTTCTCAGGCTGAAGTTGAAAACATGTCACTGCACCAGCTACTAGGAAGGAGGAAAATAACTGCTATAGCTGAACTAAGGACAATTACCCTAATTGGTGACTTCCTAAATTAGTGTGGCTACAGAAAACCATTTATTCTCTCAAGAACATAATTTATGACATCATGCAAAGCTGACAGCTTCCTAAATTTATGATGGGGATTGTGGGCTCTTTTTTGGGAAACTTCTCTCTTCGTTCCTGAATTCTAAAGTCTGAAACTGCCCTTTTAGTTTGGAAAGGGTGTGAGTTTTAGGACACTGGAAACAGAGTAGATGGTGTGCCAGATGTGCTGGTTGGTAGTTTGCCTTTGTCTACTTGTCTAATTTGTATTGCTATAGGTAGGTTACTTGTCTATGTCCAGAGTGTCCGGAGTTGTTGATCACACCAGTGACCAATTTGGTGCTAATTGTAAAGTTACAACTCTTGGTTATGTTGAACTTTTCTTCCCATCTGTTCTGTATTACCTTCTTATCTTAAAAGGTAACCATCCTGTGATGTCTGTGATGTGATACAGACTTTAGTAATGTAATATGAAAGTAATTGGTTGTACTATATTGATTTAGGGGGAAAATTGTATCTGACACTGATGAGACTTCTGATTTATCTTTTTCAGGATGCATTACAGAAGTTAACTGAAATGCTAAACTTAAGTGGAGCTGCTGCTTGCCAGGATGCTTGTCACCCTGCCAAACACCGGAATACAACCGCAGTGCTGGGCTGCTTAGCAGAGAAGTTAGCAGGTAAAGCTGTGGGATTCTTCAGGAAGCTTGCACTTGGCTCACGGAGGCACCATCTGCTGTAGCACCCATGCTGCAGATGAGTTTAGAAACATTGCCTTAGAACTGAATAATGTTTCACATTGCGGGGAGACCTCATGTGAAAATCTACTGTGTGATTAAAACATTGAGCACTCCCTAGCTTGGGTCTGAATGAGCCGTTCACAATCCCACATACTTGAAAAGCATCAAATCCTTCTGATGTGTGGTTAGTGATTGTGGATCAGTGTTTGCTTATGGTATATTGCCTCAGTACTGGTCACCAGTCTCTTCTGTGGATCTACTCTGGCTGTGTGTGAATTACTGAGAACACAAAGTTCTTTTACCAGTAGGCAGGAGTATCAAATTAGTAGACTTAGAAGCTGTAGAGAAACAAAAAAATATTTTTTTGTCTGCTAAATGTGTATTGTTCTATTGTAGGTCACAGAAAAGATTCCCTCTTCTATGTTACTTAAAAGAAAATTGCTGGGATTCTGTTTTAAGGTTAAGATTTCTCCGAATCAGTGTCTTCTCATACATAAATTTTTATTCCTTGCCATTTCTAGTACCCTGCTGGAAACTGACAATTTAGTTACTTTCCTGCTGATGGTTGATTTTGTATCTAGCTTTTTGATTCTTTTTCTGAAAGTGGACAGGAAAAGGAAGAAAAAGTGGTTGTCTGGTATCACCTAATGGTTATTAGAAAAATTCAGTGTTTCTGTCAGAAAAGTAAAGAACAAGGACAGGAAGCTTTTTCATACTATAATACTTCTATCCTGTTATAGAATCATACAACAGTTAGTGTTGGAAAGGACCTTAAGATCGTCTAGTTCCAACCCGCCTGACATGGACAGGGACACCTCACATTAAGCCATGTCACTCAAGAATCCATCCAACCTGGTCTTTAATACTGCCAGGGATTGAGCATTCACAACTTCCTTGGGCAACCCATTCCAGTGTCTCACCACCCTGAGAGTAAAGAACTTCTTCCTTATATCTAACCTAAACTTCCCCTGTTTAAGTTTGAACCCATTACCCCTTGTCCCATCACTAAGTCAAAATTAGATACTGTCTCTCATTTTAGTGGACAGAGATTTTGCTGTATCAGCTCAGGTAGCAGATCTGTTAATGCTGTGTTGGAACTCACTGCAATTTCTTTGAGTTTGTAGGTGCCAGAGTTGGGTTCCCTTGTACCTCTCTCTTGATTAAGCACACAGTGTTTCAGGGCTTTTTTTTTAATTTTATTATAAATTGGCTGCTTGCTATGATGCTGCTGCAAATTGTATCGTTAACTATCAGCTCGGCTACATTAGATGCTCAGTTTTACTATTTTGGGCTACTGATCAATGGAGCTGGTCTTTATACATTGATTCTGGAAGTAAAAGGGAGCCAGTCTCTTTTAAAAAGTAATGAGCATGAAAATAATAAGCAGAGGCTGGTGGAGTCTTCAAAATCTCAGAAGTGTGGATAGAACTCTACCCATTTACAGCAGGTAAACTGAATATGTTTGTGTCCTGGGTTTAGCAGTAGCAGTCATTTTTCTCTTTCTTGGTAGCTGGTGCAGTGCTGTGTTTTGACTTTCGGGCTGGGAACAAAGCTGATAAAAATGATGTTTTGGTTTGGCCAAGGACTTTGTGAGCCTCATGCTCTGCTAGGGAGGAGGGGAAGCCGGGAGGAAGCAGAGACAGGACACCTGACCCAAACTGACCAAAGACGTATTCCATACCACAGCATGTCATGCCCAGGATGTAACTGGGAGTTACACGGAAGGACACGGGGTCTTCTGGGTTGGACTTGTTTTTCGGCGGGTGGTATCGTATTCTTGTCCCTTGTTATTTAATCTTTGTATTGTACATTGGTTGCTGGACTGTTCTTATCTTAACCTGTGGGAGTTGGATTCTTTCGATTCTCCTCCCTATCCCTCCGGGAGCAGGGAAGGGGGGAGCCTCCAGGGGTGGGACGCGGGCCTCGACTGCTTCCAGCCCAGCAGCACTCACTGGGAGTGTGTGCACAAGCTGTCTGGCTGGGTTTAAACCACAACAGTTCTTTTTGGCGCCCAACGTGGGGCAATACAGCGGAAGAAGTCTTTGAGAAAGGGAGGAAAATAATCCAAATCCTGCTGAAAGCAGCTTTTGGTATTGCTGATTTGGAGACTGAGGAAATTGAGCAGCTGTCCACATTGCCTGGTCTCTCAGAGGATCCTTCTGTTGTGGGGCTGCTGAAAGTCGAAGAACAAGTGCCAATTGCAACCACAACAGTGCACCGGCGGCAATATCGCATCAACCGAGACTCCCTGATTCCTATCCATCAGCTGATCCGTAGACTGGAGAGTCAGGGAGTGAGCAGCAGGACCCACTCACCCTTTAATAGCCCCATATGGCCCGTGTGAAAGTCTAACGGAGAGTGGAGACTAACAGTAGACTATTGTGGCCTGAATGAAGTCACTCCACCATTGAGTGCTGCCGTACCGGACATGCTAGAACTTCAGTATGAATTAGAGTCAAAGGCAGCCAAGTGGTATGCCACAACTGATATTGCTAATGCATTTTTCTCAATTTCTTTGGCAGCAGAGTGTAGGCCACAGTTTGCTTTTACTTGGAGGGGCATCCAGTTCACTTGGAACTGACTGCCCCAGGGCTGGAAACACAGTACTACCATTTGCCATGGACTGATCCAGACTGCACTGGAACAGGGGCAAGCTCCAGAATACCTGACATTATTGTGTGGGGCGATACAGCAGAAGAAGTCTTTGAGAAAGGGAGGAAAATAATCCAAATCCTGCTGAAAGCCGGTTTTGCCATAAAACGAAGTAAGGTCAAGGGACCTGCACAGGAGATTCAATTTCTGGGAATAAAATGGCAAGATGGACGTAGACAGATCCTCACAGATGTGATCAACAAGATAACAACGTCTCCACCAACGAATAAGAAACACAGGGAAGCGTGTAGTCTGCCTGGAGCCCGGATCAGGGATATCACCAGGGCGCTCCCCAACCTGGTGCCCCCGACAGACTACTACCCGCTGCTGGTCTTCCAGACGGGTGAGGGGGAAGCTGCTTCCCGCAGTCTGAGGGAGATGAAGAAAGACTACAGGGCCTTGGGGCGGATGGTGAAAGACTCTGGGGCTCAGGTGATCTTCTCTTCACTCCTTCCATCTTCTATTGATGATGTGGGACTGAATGGGAAAATTCGGTCCATAAACAATTGGCTTCGAGGCTGGTGCTGCAGGCAGGGCTTTGGATTCTTTGATAACGGCTGGTTTTATAGGGCACCAGTCTGGACATTGGCATGTGGGAAAGGTTTATCGCACAGAGGCAAAAGGATGCTGGGGCATGAATTAGCAGGGCTCATTTGGAGAGCTTTAAACTAGATTCGAAGGGGGATGGGGTTGTAGCTGGGCTTGCCTCAGTGGGACAGCGCTCCGGAATTGATGAAGACTGGGAGGCCTCCTGTAATCCTAGGGTGAAATCGGTGTGCTCAGCTTGCTCCCTGAAATGTCTGTACACCAATGCACGCAGCATGGGAAATAAGCAAGAGGAGCTAGAAACCTGTGTTAAGTCAGGAGATTATGACCTGGTGGCAATTACAGAGACGTGGTGGGACAGCTCACATGACTGGAATATAGTTGCTCTTTATGTGCGAGAGCAGCTACAATGTGTTGAGTTCTGTCCGGGGACAGGTGACAAGCGAGTTGAGAGTCTGTGGGTGAGAATAAAGGGGCAGGCTGGCAGGGGCGATACTGTTGTGGGGGTCTGTTACAGGCCACCGGATCAGGGTGAGGAAGTTGACGAGGCCTTCTACAGGCAGCTGAGAGCGGCCTCACAGTCACAGGCCGTGGTCGTCGTGGGGGATTTTAACTTCCCTGATGTTTGCTGGAAGGACTACTCGGCAACCCAGCCGCAGTCCAGGAGGTTCCTCCAGTGTATGGATGATAACTTCCTCATGCAAATGGTGGATGAGCCAACCAGGAGAGGTGCGCTGCTGGATCTCATCCTCACTAACAAGGAGGGTCTGGTCGAAGGAGTGAAGGTTGAGGGCTGCCTTGGTTGCAGCGACCACGAGATGGTAGAATTCAGGATCTTGTGTGGTAGGGCCAGTAGAATAGCAAGTAGAATTGCAACCCTGGACTTTAGCAGGGCAAACTTTGGCCTCTTCAAGCAATTGCTAGGGGAAATCCCATGGGCTAGGCTGCTTGAAGGTAAAGGGGCCCAAGATAGTTGGTTGACGTTCAAGGACTGCTTTTTCCGAGCTCAAGACCAGAGCATCCCGACACGTAGGAAGTCAAGGAAGAGGGTCAGGGGACCTGCGTGGCTAAATAGGGAATTGCTGGGTATGCTGAAGTGGAAGAGGAGAGTTTACAGGTCATGGAAGGAAGGGCTGGCCACTTGGGAAGAATATAAGGCTGCTGCTAGAGGATGTAGGAAAGCTGCTAGGATGACTAAGGCCTCCTTGGAATTAAAGCTGGCGAGAGAGGTCAAGGACAGCAGAAAGAGCTTTTTCAAATTTATGGCAGATAAAACTAACACCAGAGGCAATGTAGGCCTGCTGATGAACGGGACGGGTGCCCTGGTGACAGAAGATACAGAGATGGCAGAGTTACTTAATGCCTTCTTTGTCTCTGTCTACTCTGCTGGAGGCAGTCCTGAAGAGCCCTGTACCGCTGAGACCTCAGATGAAGACAGGTCAACGGAGCGGTTTGCCTTAGTCGATGAGGAATGGGTTAAAGACCAGTTGAGCAATCTGGACATCCATAAATCCATGGGTCCAGATGGGATGCACCCGTGGGTGCTGAGGGAACTGGCAGAGGTCATTGCTAGACTGCTCTCCATCATCTTTACCAAGTCTTGGGAAACGGGAGAGGTGCCTGAGGACTGGAGGAAAGCAAATGTCACTCCCATCTTCAAAAAGGGCAAGAAGGAGGACCCGGGTAACTATAGACCGGTCAGCCTCACCTCCATTCCTGGGAAAGTGATGGAACACCTTATCCTTGGTGCCATCTTAAGGCATATCAAGGATAAGAGGGTTATGAGGGGCAGTCAACATGGCTTCACCAAGGGGAGAGTCGAGGTTGACCCCTTGGCTTTTGGAGTCAGGGATACAAAGGATTTTAGGCAAGCTATACCTCAACTGAGAAAGGGATTCTGGCAGCCTGTGAAGGGGTTCGAGATGCTTCGGAAGTGATTGGCACCGAAGCACAGCTCCTCCTGGCACCCCGGTTGCCCGTGCTGGGCTGGATGTTCAAAGGCAGGGTCTCCTCTACGCATCATGCAACTGATGCTACATGGAGTAAATGGGCTGCACTAATTACACAATGAGCTCGAATAGGAAATCCCAGTTGTCCAGGCATTCTAGAAGTCATCATGGACTGGCCAGATGGCAAAGATTTCGGAATGTCACCAGAGGAGGAGGTGATGCATGCTGAAGAGGCCCCACCATATAATCAGCTGTCAGAAAATGAAAAGCAGTATGCCTTGTTTACTGATGGGTCCTGCCATATTGTGGGAAAGTGTTGAAGATGGAAGGCAGCTGTATGGAATCCTCGACAACAAGTTGCAGAAACTGCTGAGGGGGAGGGTGAATCCAGTCAGATTACCCAGGTGAAAGCCATCCAGCTGGCCCTGGAAATTACTGAAAGAGAAAAGTGGCCAGTACTTTATCTCTCTACTGACTCATGGATGGCGGCAAATGCCCTGTGGGGGTGGTTGCAGCAATGGAAGCAGAGCAACTGGCAACACAGCGGTAAACCCATCTGGGCTGCTGCACTGTGGAAAGATTCTGCTTCCCGGGTGCAGTAACAGGTAGTGAAGGTACGTCATGTAGATGCCCAAGTACCCAAGAGTCAGGCCATTGAGGAACACCAGAACTACCAACAAGTGGATAAAGCTACTAAGATTGAAGTGGCTCAGATTGACTTAGATTGGCAACATAAAGGTGAATTATTTTTGGCCCGGTGGGCCCATAGCACTTCAGGCCATCAGGGCAGGGATGCAACATATAGATGGGTCCATGATCGAGGTGTGGACTTAACAATGGACGCTATTGCCCAGGCTATTCATGAGTGTGAAACGTGCTGCAATTAAACAAGCCAAATGGTTAAAGCCTCTTTGGTATGGAGGATGATGGCTGAAGTATAAATATGGGGAGGCCTGGCAGATTGATTATGTCACACTGCCACCAACCTGCCAAGGTAAGCGCCATGTGCTTACCATGGTGGAAGCAACCACCGGATGGCTGGAAATATATGCTGTGCCACACACCACTGCCCAGAACACTATCCTGGGCGTTGAGAAACAAGTTTTGTGCCGGCACGGCACCCCAGAGAAAATTGAGTCAGACAATGGGACTCATTTCTGGAATAACCTTATAGACATTTGGGCCAAAGAGCATGGCGTTGAGTGGGTATATCACATCCCCTACCATGCACCAGCCTCTGGGAAAATCGAAAAGTACAATGGGCTGTTAAAAGCTACACTGAGAGCAATGGGTGGGGGAACTTTCAAGCATTGGGATACACACTTACCAAAGGCCACCTGGTTGGTCAACACCAGAGGATGTGCCAACAGGGCTGGCCCAGCCCAATCAGAACTTTTACATATTGTAGAGTGGGACAAAGTTCCTGTGGTGCATATGAAGAATTTGCTGGGGAAGACAGTCTGGGTTATTCCTGCTTCAAGTAAATGCAAACCCACTCGTGGGATTGCTTTTGCTCAGGGACCTGGATATACTTGGTGGGTAATGCAGGAAGATGGGGAAGTCCAATCTATACCTCAAGGGGATTTAATTTTAGGGGAAAACAGCCAATGAACTTAATTGTATGCTGTTGCCTGCTGTGTAATACTTTAATAGCCCATCAACCAGATGTCTTCAGGTCACCAGCGACTGGCCCTGACTTCCCTTCAACCATCATCCCAACAGAGAATGAACTTTGATAGAACCAGACGAGTTCTGCAGTAAGGGAACCATCAGCATCAGCAGGCAACGATCCAGTACTGCACACAGCCTCTCTTGCTCTGAAAGACTGTTGCAAGAGATGGAGCCTGACATCATGGTCCTGATGGATTGAGCAGCTTTATAAGGACTGGTTCATGCACTAAGATAGGAGTGCGCTGAGATAAGAGTGATGGTATATTGAAAATGTGGGATTTGAGCATGACGTGACTGGTATGGAATAAGGGGTGGATAATGTCCTGGGTTTAGTAGTAGCAGTCATTTTTCTTTTTCTTGGTAGCTGCTGCAGTGCTGTGTTTTGACTTTCGGGCTGGGAACAGAGCTGATAACAGTGATATTTTGGTTTGGCCAAGGACTTTGTAAGCCTCATGCTCTGCCGGGGAGGAGGGGAAGCCAGGAGGAAGCAGAGACAGGACACCTGACCCAAACTGACCAAAGAGGTATTCCATACCACAGCATGTCATGCCCAGGATCTAACTGGGAGTTACCCAGAAGGACATGGGGGTCTTCTGGGTTGGACTTGTTTTTTGGCGGGTGATATCGTATTCGTGTCCCTTCTTATTTTCTCTTATCATTGTTGGCGTTGGTGGTAGTGGTGGTGATTTGTGTTGTACATTGGTTGCTAGACTGTTCTTATCTCATCCCGTAGGAGTTGCCTTCTTTCAGTTCTCCTCTCCATTCTTCCAGGAGCGGGGAAGCAGGGAGCTCCTGGGGGGGGTGACGCAGGCCTCGACTGCTTCCAGCCCAGCACCACTCACTGGAAGTGCGTGCACAAGCTGGCTGGCTGGGTTTAAACCACGACAGTTTGCAATTTGCCAGTAACTGTGTAATTATTAAATGTGTACCAAATATTTGAGTGGGAACAACAATAATTGTTCTACATACATTGGGACCTGGACCTGCTCAAGCCAGTCCAGAGGAGGACACAAGGATGCTCTGAGGGCTGGAGCAGCTCTGCTCTGGAGAAGCTGTGAGAGCTGGGCTTGTTCAGCCTGGAGAAGAGAAGGCTTCAGGGAGGTTTTAAAGCAGCTTCCAGCTTAGGTACTACTTTAGGGGCTACAAGAAACCTGGAAGAGGGGCTTTGGACAAGGGCCTTGTAGGGACAGGATAAGGGGGAGTGGCTTTAACCTGACAGAGGGGAGATTGAAATGAGTTCTTGGGCAGAAGTTCTTCCCTGTTAGGGTGCTGAGGCACTAGCACAAGTTACCCAGAGAAGCTGTGACTGCCCCATCCCTGGCAGTGTTCAAGGCCAGGTTGGACAGGGAGCAACCTGGTCTAGTGGAAGGTGTCCCTGCCCATGGCAGGGGGTTGAAACTGGATGAGCTGTAAGGTCCCGTCAGCCGCAAATGATTCAAGGATTCTACATTTTAGTTCTGCTTTGCTGAGAAGTTCTTGTTCTTTAGTTTTTGTCTTGTGTTTATAAGATCTGTGCAATGATGAGTATATGGTAGTTCCCATGGATGTGTTTAATTTTTAATGTCCATGTAGGTCCTGCGAGCGTAGGCTTACTCAGCCCAGGCATATTGGAATATTTACTTTACAGCCTGGTAAGTGTCTTCCATCTTTTTGTATGTATCTATATGTAGCAATTAAAATGCATTTTCTTTGTTATTATTGTGAAAAGTTATTGTCATATTTGGTAAATACTGGTAATATCTTTTACATAAAGTTGAGATTCCAGAGAGTCTCTAGTATCTCCATCCTTGGAGATAATTAGAAGTCACTAGGACAAGGCACTGAGCAGCCTGATCTCAAACCAGCTTTCCACAGGAGGCTGAACTAGAGGAGCCGTGGAGTTCCCCTTCAACCTTAAGCATTCTGTGGCAGACTAACAGCTTCTCCTACCCATCTGTGCTGGGTATTTATTAAATAACTTTTCTTCCTACCCATGTTTAGAACTTCCAGTCCCATCCGACAGTGATGCTTTTTGCACTAATAGCACTGGAGAAGTTTGCACAAACAAGTAAGTATTAGCCTGATACTGCTCTTAACAGCCATACTATGCTTCTACTGTAAGTTAGGAGCATGAGAGGCTGGGTTGGTGTAAACATGAATATGGAAGAGAAATGTTTGTCCACTTAGGCAAGAAATATTTATTGCTTTATTGACATCCCTCTACCCGTGCAAACTCTTGAGATATTTGCTGAAACTCAGTGCAGTCGTTCCCAGTTGGAAATTGCTGTAGAAAGACTCATGCCATGAGGCCTTTGTCACTGAAATAAATCTATTACAGGTAGAGAACAGCTATGATTGGGTATTTGCAAGCAGGAAAAAATACTTATTTCTTTAACAACACCCCACCCACAAACAATTAAGGGATTTGTGGAAACTCAGTCCTTCTCAGCTTCAAAATTGCTGCATAAAGACTTATGACATAAGACCTTTGTTATTTGAAAGGAAATAAATCTCTGTTAGAGAGATGGAGAACAGCTGTGATATAATAGTGTCTTGATGAAGCTCTGTGCTGAGGACTGGTATATTGGAGTGTGAAGTTAATGCACATCTGTTTGGGGAAAGAAGTTTATGCTGTTTGTAATCGGTTTAAGGGGGCGTTCTACTGCATTTGTAGAATGTTACTATTTTTAACTGAATTTGGTACTAGTTTATAGCATTTATTCTTTTTTGCTGTCATTGCAGGTGAAAATAAACTGGCAGTTTCTCAATCATGCATTAGCGACCAACTGATCCTGCTTGAGAAATGGACAGATAATCCAGACTATTTAAAACGTCAGGTTGGGTTCTGTGCCCAGTGGAGTTTAGACAATCTGTGTAGGTATAAGAAAGCGATGGATTCAGTATATAAACTGGGGAGAGTCATCCAGAAGGCCCAGATTGCTGCTCGGGTCAGGCTGGGTATCAGTGGGTGGGTGGTGAGCAATTGTATTTTCCATCACTTGTGTTTATTGTTTTCTTTTCTTATTCCCCTTTTAGTTTTATGTTCTCTTCTCTTGTCATTTCCCTTATCATTATTATTATTGGTGGTAGTAGTAGTGGTTTTGTATTATACTTTAGTTACTGGACTGTTCTTACCTCAACCTGTGGGATTTATATTCTTTAGATTCTCCTACCCATCCCTCCCAGAGCAGGAGAGGGAAGAATGGGGGAGAGTGAGCAAGAGACTGCTTAAACCACAACAGTTCTTTCTGGTGCCCAACGTGGGGCACAAAGGGTTGAAATAACGACAGGTCTGACCAGAGTCTGTCTAATTGTATTTCTGATAAACAATCATTGTTTTGGATTAACAGTTACTTATCACAATGTTGATGTATTTGCTCTCAGAGTAGTTGAGCTTGGTCTTAGAGTTTCAGCATTTCATACCTTACTTGCAGCCAACATTTGCTGTTTTAGTATTTATTGGGTTTGGGTCCTGGGCTACAGTTCTTGTTTTGTTGTACTTGATGGTAATGACTTGTAATACAATAGACTCATTGATCATGAAACTGGTCTGCCATGCGTTCTCCATGTGGCTGTCCTGTCTATATTTTGGGAGGCATTTAATGGGAATTGTTATCAATTACACATCATTTTCTTCCACCTTGGAGGGTCAACCTATGAAGGAGACATCCCCTCACACCTTCTGCTACCCCACCAGGCTATTTACAGTAGCATTTGAAAAATGTAAAGGCTTTACCAATATTGAAGCCAGCCTGTTGCTTTTGCTGGGAATCAGCATGTTGCTGCACATGCTGCATGTGTTTTTACCCATGGCCATACCATGTTGAGAATGCCCTATTTCGTCTGATCTTCAAAGTTCAGCAGGGTCGGGCTTGGGTCTTGTCTAAAGTTAAGTGACTATCAAAGAATACCACCATGACATCTTCCCTGCTGCTGGACAGTCATGAGTGGCAGGTTGTGTGGGAACATATGGGCAAGCACTTAAGCCATTTTGCCCCTCCAGTGCTTTGGAACATCACTCCTGAACAAATACAGAATCCAGAAAAAATATCAGAAAAATTAGGAAATGGGTGCTGTTGTCCTAGCAATATCAGAGAGGAACAAATCATATCAATGTGCTGGGGCTTGGCCTACTCCTACAAAGCCGTGTTCAACACTATCCAGTACCTTCATGGGGAAGAAGACGTCTCTGGATCTGGTGGCAAAACAACACACAATGCAGTTGCTCCATCCCAAGCAACAAGCACAGCAGCTACTCCAACTGACCACAGACACTACAGCTACTCCAACCACAGTGATAGAAACTGCAGCTGAACCAAAGGGCCAATCCATGCCAATAGCAGTTGCCCTTATAAGCAAGGCGAAAAGCAAAAGAGAGCCGCAAAAAGCAACTTGTACACTGAAGGAAGATGAAAACCCAATGCATGAACTAGAGGGGACAACATGTGAACAAGGGGAATTACTACAGAAATCGGAGGAAGAGGTAACTTCTTAATCCCAGACCTTGACCGAGCTGTGGAATGAGGGAAAACAGCACATTGTCACCTGGTTGCTCTGATGCTGGGACAATGGGGTCACAAACTAGAAGGTAGGGAAGCCAAGCAGCTGGGATCACTTACCAGGGAAGGGGGAATTGACTAAGTGATTGCAAAAGAGAAACAGTCCCTCAGCCTTTGGAGGAGGCTCTTGGCAGCTGTGAAGGAAAGGTTTCCCTACAAGGATAATGTTATGTGTTGCTCAGCTAAGTGAACCACACTAGAGAGAGGCCTCTGGTACCTGAGGGAATTAGCCGTTCTAGAGATTATCATAAATCACATACTGGGAATGCACCCGTACATCCAGATGAAGTCGAATGTACATGACCCATGTGGCAGAAACTTAAAGGAACGTGCCATCATCATATGCCCACTCACTGGCATTAATGACCTGAAGTGAGGCAGGACCATCAACAGTGGATGAAGTGAGTTTGCAATTCCGAGAGTTTGAAGACAGTCTTACCCCTCCTGTCATTTCAACTGTAGAAAAGCTCCTGACCTAGGAGTTCGAACAGTTGAGAGATGATGTGTCCAACTCCCAACATGTGCCAACCCATTCCTCAGCTATTAACAGAAGGTCACCCTATTGCCCAAGAGGGAAGATATAGGAGGTACGTGCCACAGGCCACCCAATGGTTTTACCTGTGGGATCATAGAGAAGATGTGAGAAAGTGGGATGGAAAACCTACCTCAGTTCTGGATGAATGGGTGTGAGAATTGAGGAGGAAAACAACAGTCGAGGATGATCCTCACAAGAAAGTTGCTGCTCCAGTATTCGGTGAGCATCTTCCCAGATGGAGTGGAAGAACTGATTTTCACTCCAGCTCCTGTGAGAAGGACTACTAATCCCTTTCTACAAGATGTAAGTGGAGAATCTTATGATCACTATTAGAGGGGCCCTGCCTTCAGCCCGGTGGCGGAGAGGGACAGTTGGTTTACTGGACTGTGTGTATCAGATGGACTGGCTCATCAGTCCCACAGGAGTATAAGGCTCTAGTAGATAACAGTGCACAGTGTACCCTGATGCCATCAAGCTGTCAAGGGGTGGAACACATTTGTTGTCTGGAGTTACAGGAGGACTTCAAGAGTTTCCCGTAATGAAGGCTGAAATCAGCCGGCCTGGGAAGGAGTGGCAAAAGCACCCCATTGTGACTGCTTCAGAGGTTCCATGCATCCTTGGCATAGACTACCTCAGGAGAGGGTACTTCAAAGACCCCAAAAAAAGTACCAATGGGTTTTAGTACAGCTGCCTTGGAGATGGAGGAAATTAGCAACTGTCCACCTTGCTTGGTCTCTCAGACAGAGAGTTGTGGGGTTGCTGAAGTCAAAGAACAGCAAGTGCCAGTCATGACCACAACAGTGCACCAGCAGCAATATCACACCAACCAAGACTCCCTGATTCCCATCCATGAGCTGATCCATAGACTGGAGAGCCAAGGAACGATCAGCAGTACCCACTCACCCTTTAATAGCCCCATATTATTCGTGGAATTCAGGATCTTGTGTGGTAGGGCCAGTAGAATAGCAAGTAGAATTGCAACCCTGGACTTTAGCAGGGCAAACTTTGGCCTCTTCAAGCAATTGCTAGGGGAAATTCCATGGGCTAGGCTGCTTGAAGGTAAAGGGGCCCAAGATAGTTGGTTGACGTTCAAGGACTGCTTTTTCCGAGCTCAAGATCAGAGCATCCTGACATGTAGGAAGTCAAGGAAGAGGGTCAGGAGACCTGCGTGGCTAAATAGGGAATTGCTGGGTATGCTGAAGTGGAAGAGAAGAGTTTACAGGTCATGGAAGGAAGGGCTGGCCACTTGGGAAGAATATAAGGCTGCTGCTAGAGGATGTAGGAAAGCTGCTAGGATGACTAAGGCCTCCTTGGAATTAAAGCTGGCGAGAGGGGTCAAGGACAGCAGAAAGAGCTTTTTCAAATACATGGCAGATAAAACTAACACCAGAGGCAATGTAGGCCCGCTGATGAACGGGACGGGTGCCCTGGTGACAGAAGATACAGAGATGGCAGAGTTACTTAATGCCTTCTTTGTCTCTGTCTACTCTGCCGGAGGCAGTCCTGAAGAGCCCTGTACCGCTGAGACCTCAGATGAAGATAGGTCAACGGAGCGGTTTGCCTTAGTCGATGAGGAATGTGTTAAAGACCACTTGAGCAATCTGGACATCCATAAATCCATGGGTCCAGATGGGATGCACCCGTGGGTGCTGAGGGAACTGGCAGAGGTCATTGCTAGACCGCTCTCCATCATCTTTACCAAGTCTTGGGAAACGGGAGAGGTGCCTGAGGACTGGAGGAAAGCAAATGTCACTCCCATCTTCAAAAAGGGCAAGAAGGAGGACCCGGGTAACTATAGACCAGTCAGCCTCACCTCCATTCCTGGGAAAGTGATGGAACACCTTATCCTTGGTGCCATCTTAAGGCATATCAAGGATAAGAGGGTTATGAGGGGCAGTCAACATGGCTTCACCAAGGGGAAGTCATGGTTGACCAATCTCGTAGCCTTTTATGAGGAAATAACACGGTGGATGGATGATGGCAGAGCGGTGGATGTGGTCTACCTTGACTTCAGCAAAGCGTTTGACACGGTCTCCCACAGCATCCTCGCAGCTAAATTGAGGAAGTGTGGTCTGGATGATTGGGTAGTGAGGTGGACTGTGAACTGGCTGAAGGAGAGAAGCCAGAGAGTTGTAGTCTATGGGGCGGAGTCTAGTTGGAGGCCTGTATCTAGTGGAGTGCCTCAAGGGTTGGTACTGGGACCAGTATTATTTAATATATTCATCAGTGATTTAGATGAGGGAATTGAGTGTACTATCAGCAAGTTTGCTGATGACACTAAGCTGGGAGGGGTGGCCGACACGCCAGAAGGCTGTGCTGCCATTCAGTGAGACCTGGACAGGCTGGAGAGTTGGGCAGGGAGTAACTTGATGAAATATAACAAGGGAAAGTGTAGAGTCCTGCATCTGGGCAGGAACAACCCCAGGTTCCAGTATAGATTGGGGAACGACCTGTTAGAGAGCAGTGTAGGGGAGAGGGACCTGGGGGTCCTAGTGGACGACAGGGTGACCATGAGCCGACACTGTGCCCTTGTGGCCAAGAAGGCCAATGGCATCCTGGGGTGTATTAGAAGGGGGGTGGTTAGTAGGTCGAGAGAGGTCCTCCTTCCCCTCTACTCTGCCCTGGTGAGACCTCATCTGGAATATTGTGTCCAGTTCTGGGCCCCTCAGTTTAAGAAGGACAGGGACCTGCTGGAGAGAGTCCAGCGCAGGGCAACTAAGATGATTAAGGGAGTGGAGCATCTCCCTTATGAGGAAAGACTGAGGGAGCTGGGTCTCTAT